ACTTAATCTATAACTTTTTTTGTTTTTTATCTATATATAACTTATTTTTTATTTTTCTATTTCTCATCTATATATATCTTACACATCTATAATTTCTTTTTTATTTTTGTCTTTTTATCTATCTATAACTTATTCTATCTATAACTTATTTTTTATTTTTCTCTTTCTTTTTTTTTTTCTTTTGGCTGGGGCTGGGTTTGAACCTGCCACCTCCAGCATATGGGGCCTGTGCCCTACTCCTTTGAGCCACAGGCACTGCCCCTATTTTTCTCTTTCTTATCTATAACTTTATAACTTATTCTTTTTTTGTCTTTTTTATCTATCTGTAACTTCTTTTTTTATTTTTGTCTTTTTTACCTGTCTATAACTTACTCTATAACTTATTCTTTTTTATCTATAACTTATCCTCTTTTATTTTTGTCTTTTTTATCTATCTATAACCTATTCTATCTATAACTTATCTGCAAATTAGTAAGAACATTTTTAAAGATAAATAATCTATATGGCTATTGCCTTTATGGAAATTGGTAGAGCATGAGCAAAATGTTGCCATCAGCATCAAAGTATTTGAGAAAGAGGTAAGTATAAGCTACCTTTAAATTCTCTTCTGTGGAAAAATTCTCATGGATTTAATTATAGAAGCTGTCAATCCCTGCTATTTCCTTTTTTAGCTGTTTTGGTTCTACATATAAAGATGAACCAAAAGCAAAGGTTTTTTTGCTCTTTCCGGCATGAAGTATATTTGTAAACTATCCAATGAAAATAATACAATGTAAAGAGCAAACTTCCTATTTGACCACGCTAAAACTAACATGTTATATGGTTTTTAAAGAAGTAGACTAGACTATAATTTAGTTCTGCAATTCTGAATCTAATGTATTTTTAGAGGAACTTCCTACAAAACAAAAACTACTAAGAGCAGACAAATGAGTTTCCATCAAGAAGGCATTGGTACTCCCCAAAGTAAGCCCTATCTCAGTTGGCAGAATCATTTTTTAAATATCATAGTATTTTTGTTCTTTAAGTCTTTCAATGTAGTAGCATAGCTTCACAGCTGTCCCCAGCTTCAGGCCCATATATTGCATCATCATGTCACTCTTGAGCAGTAGCAGGGCCTTTCCATCAATGTCCTACAGAGAGAAGGAACTTACAGTAACTAAGAATACTTTCCTATTTTATCAGAATTGTTCTTTCTTTTTATATATATATATAAAATATGTAATGCCAACTAGAGAGTAGCTCATCCCAAATGGATATGCTCTGAATATACATCTACTTTGTGGAAAAACTTTTAAAAATATAATCTGTATAGTGATGCACCATTTGATAATTCATAAATTTACCTAAAATTTTAAGAAAAAAGGAAAATTTGCCTAGTGTATTATAAAAGTGAACTGTGTCAAATGACATTTTAAATACATACTGTAGGTTGAATAAAATACTACATATCTTTGACAGAAGAGTAGAAACTATGAATGGTAAAGATGAATTTCAGATGGTCATTAACATTCTGCGAAGGGCTGAAAATATGGGTATGCTGACATCGGTGTAGACTGTAAACGTGCTATATAGTACTGTCTTTATGATGAAAGCCAGTTAGCTGTCTGAAGCTAATTCTATACTAAAACAAATGACTGACTTTTCTACCAGATTGAAAATAGTACATCAGATATGAGGCCACTAATTTTGTTAGGACACACTATAAAAATATTTCTTGATAGTCATGAGGCATCCTAAAATTCTTCATTATCTTAATTGACCAGTTTTACACTACCTGAAGCATATTACTTGGTTTTCACAAGTTTCAGTTTAAAAATAAAATTTTAGTTACTCCCGCAACACTGTCTGAAAAGACCTGAAGTCTCTCACAGTACTACCTTTGTCAGCTACCTTCTATACTTTTTCTACTAAGTAAAACTCTACATTAAAGAAATTAAAGCTACAAAGTAGAAAAAAACATAGACCATGATGTTACTCTGCAAATGGTCTGGTGAACGCATGAGGGTATCAGCATCACAAACCATCAATAACCAAGCCAAAGGGGCTCCGTTGCTGGATTCATGGGGTATCATCATAAGAAGTACCCTGTTAAAATTTGTGGTCACCCCCTCATACTCATGGTCCCGAGGCCTAGCTGGGAGTAGGGTGAGGATCCTGTGCATTTGTCATTATAAAGGGGAGGAAAACCTGAGAGTGGCAATGCTCAATCATTATCTCCTGTGAACTTGTTGCTGTTTGTGTGTTAGGCACTTAAATACTCATTTAAAGAACGGACCATTAATCTACCATTTAGAATCTAACTTTGGGAAAAAATAATCTTTTGCACGTATGGAAAAATCAGTTGGTAGGGTTCCCCCACCACCCACATACTCAGAATGCAACTGAAGGGTCTGCACAGAGGTCAAAGGCATTGTGGCTAGAAAATTGGACGAAGAGATACATTACATGGTGCCTGACGAGGTCGCTGATAAGGTTTGACATAGGAACATCGGTTTGCTTCAGAAAAGTGACCACGTCTTCCACAGACCAGGTTGAAGGGTCTACGGAGAAGATTGGTTTCAGCCTATCACGGTCATGATGAAGGGGTGAGCTCGTAGCTTCAATGGAAAGAAGAAAAGATAAATCATACTTGACCTGATCATTATCCGGAAAGAAGAGATGTTAGGTTGAGAGTAATGGTCTCATTCTTAGAACATTCTGTTAGGTCCCCTAGCCAGTAGTCAAGACTAAATTATAAAATCTAGCAAAAGCCTATAAAAAGATGTTGTGAGGATGGCAACACAAGAACGTCCCATCTGATCTCCCCCAAACAACAAAAGCAGCTTCAGAAGTTACCTTAAAGCTTCAAAGACCATAAAACAGATTGAGCAATCCAAGGCTTCTTTGGCCACAGGCAAATATAGATCTGTTATGTGGGTAAAATGAGGTTAATCTAACCTAACCAGTGACTCTCTTACTTTTAGTATTTCAATGAGTTTCTCTTAATCTCTTAATCTATCTTGGTCTATCTAGGTTATGTTTATTTTACTAGCTAAATAGTATGAAAATTCCCCAAATGTACAGTTGTATAATTGCTTAAATGTGTTCATTTTAGTCAATAAATTTCAATAGTAACCCCATTATCTCTGAAATTACTTCTTTTGCCAAATCTCCCCCAAGTATTCAATAAGTATATTTTTAGCATCACTTTACTCTAAATTTCTGTCTCTTATGGCTTAAATGCTAATCTGAAATTTGAAGAAAACAAAATTATTTTCTGCTGAGCTAGATCAGAAATAACTATCATTTTATTTCATTCCTCTTTCATGTTTAATTGCATAGTACTAGATATTTGGGTCAAAGGTTTGTGTGTTTAAAAAAGAAATAATTGAGATATGAAATAATGTAAGTGATTATACCTGAAGAGGTTTTATCTGTGCCTTCACTGTGGGATAGAGCACAGGGTTAAAAGTGCTAGGCACTGAGGAAAGTCTGATCTGGACTAAAGCCAGGCATCACTGCTGGCCCTGAGCACTAAAAACAATATTCACTAGACACAGCCCACCGTCTCAGCCCTAAGTCATACTCAGCAGTGATAAGGAAAACACAAGACACAAGTACAGTAAATAGAATGTATTATGAATTCAATCATACAGTTAAAGATAAACTCCTTGTTTTTTTAACCTTTACTCTCTCTTTGAAGTTTTCCGCTGTGCTGTATTTTCTCATCACACCTGACTTCAATAAAAGCCTGGGAAGATCCTTGAAAGGGGGCGCACCCTCTTATCTCCATCTCCATGCGGGGATGCTTGCTGGTGGAGGCCTCCCTGGGTCCCTCAGTTCAATGCAATATGGACTGAGTAGGTGTTACTTATTTGCGTCAAGTTGCACCAACACTTCACTAAATTGTGTTAAAATTTCTCTGAGTCCTGAGAAGCATTGGCTTACTTAGCTAGAGTCATTTGACTCCCTAAACTTAGTGTGTGAGAACTGAGGTGGATTTTCTAACTAGCTACAGAGACTTGTTTCTCCAATAAGGAAACCACCACAATTGATCATTTTTGTGTGTCAATTAGCTGAAGGCATACCCTTTCTTACCTATCATCTAGGCTCTTGCCATTTCAAGAGAGTTTTGAGTTATTTACCCTGGGAAAGAGTGAACAAAAATAGAAGATTAACACCTTCACAATAGGGTGACGTTCTAGGAGTGCTCCTCACCAGTTCTGTGCTCTTAGGGAGGGGGCATTATGGGTATAAGTGGAGAAGAGGCACGGCTGACTGGCAGAATGTCTGGCACACAATACACACTCAACAAATGTTTGCCACCATCCTGAGTATCACCTAAAACCAGCCCTCAAAACAGGAAACAAACAGCTTCCACTAGCCTGCAGCAAGTGGAAATAGGTTCAACAGTACTGCTACTTGTAATGTGGCATTTCAAACTCACCGAAGCCACGAGGGACCCTGCGCGGTGACCCACAATGTTTATCTTCCATTAGAGAGGCGTAACTTATCATCTTAGGATTCTGCGTCAGGTAGCTAGTACTTGGGGCCAGGCAGCTAGTATTCGGAGCCAGGAAGCTAGTATTCTGGGTCAGGCAGCTAGTATTCGGAGCCAGGAAGCTAGTATTCTGGGTCAGGCAGCTAG